TTTTTTTGGTTTTTCTCCGGTACCAGGAACCGAACTCACGACCTTGTGCTTGCCAGGCAGGTGCTTTGCCGCTGAGCTAAATCCCCAGCCCCACTCATCTACTTTTTTTCCAAAATATTCTCTGGTAATTTTGTTTTCACCTTCCTGTTTCATCAGTTTGGGAGGTTACCTACCTTGTGTCATTTCAATGGCATTTACAGTCAAACTAAGTTGGCTGCTTGGCAGGCATCAGAGAAGAACTGCCGGCATATTAGAGTGAACCTGCTCACCTTGAGCTTTCATGAGCTGTGGCATGAGACTGTATGCCTCCCCCAAGGAATGGAAAGAGGCAGAGGTTAATACAGCAAGGCACACATATGAGTTGGTTCGCAGAGGTTCATGTGTATGTGTGTAGTGTGTGGTGCAGAAGCATTTTTGATTGTTAATGAATATTTTAATATTTCAAATCATCTAACTTTTGACAAATTAAACTTATTTCCAAATCACAGAGGTAGCAGCATAAGCCGGTATGATTTGTCTGACTGGCATAGCATGACTGAAGAATTAAGGTGTGAGAAATGTCCACAGGACACCACAGACTTTGGTGCAGGTGTAAGGGATGCTGAAGAACCAACAGGATCAGGTGTAGGCAATCCAGAGACACATTTTTCCCTCAGAGATGGAAGAGGGTTCTATGGCTCAGGAACAGAGGGCCATAATTTAGCTTGAGAGAAACAGTGGGAGTCAATCTGGCAAGGCAAGTTGAGACTTGGTATTGATGGACTCCAGAGGCTGTTTCCCAGGGTATTTGAAAAGATGAAGTTTCTGTGGTTCAAGAGGAGAAAATCTGACATGCATGGTAGCACACACCTGTAATCCCAGCATGCGAGAAGGTGAGGAAGAAATCATGAGTTCAAGGCCAGCCTGGGCATAGTGCAATTCGGTCCCAAAAAATAAGAGAGTGGGAGGGAGAGAGAGAGATTCTAAGAAATCATTTAGCAGCCGCAGCAGGCTAAACTTCAGGAATTCTGCATTCAGGGACCACATTCTTCTCAAGACTTAACTTCACCTAGAATAGCCAAACTTAGGTCTATCTTCACTCAGGTAAGAGTTATCATGACTAGTCTCCATTCCTGGGAAGAAAGAGAAAAATATTTTCAGGCTCTTTCAAAGAGAAAACTACATGCTACTAGGGGTACAGGTATAGTTATCATTTGACATTCAAAACTTTCTGTTAAAAATTTTATAACTATGTAAGTGTAACCGTTTATAAGGCCTAAGTATCTGATATATTAAAATTAATTTAATAATTAATTATAATTATTTATTTTCTCTCACTTATAGGACTATGTAGTATAAAAAATATGGTGTTCCCTTCCCCCAGTCATCCACTAGAGAAATAACAAACTTCAACTCTGAAATATACAAAATGTAATGCAACATAAGTTTTAATTAACATGGCCTTAAAATTGAAGCTTTCTCCTTTTATGGGTGAGAAAACTGAATGACTAAAATGTTGAAAATTATAGAGAGCCCTTCTTGGTTCTTGTCACAGCCCAGGAAGTTTGTATTTGTAATCTCATGAAAAATTATTGGAATCCTAGTGAGTTAATTCCAATCTACCACTTCCAGGGCAACCCATGGTGAGGATAAAGACACTGAGGCATATTTTATAGTTATGGGGAGCCAAGGCTTCCTAAGTCCAGCCATAATGATGGCTATCCAGAGCAAAGGCCTACTCAGGGCTGAACCCAGGTTTTATTAGCTCATGAAGAAAAGAGTGGCTTGAGGATGAGTGACTGTGAGAATGGCGGGAAGTAGGTGAGTGCTGTGAGCTGGGCTAGGTAGGAGGCATAATGGCACCTCTGCAATATGCAGAGAGAAAGATCTGCAGAAAGAGTAATCTGCATAACACAATTGAGATAGTATCTAATGTTTTGGGGTCAGTGCTTCAGCTCTGATGTGTAATCTTTGAAGCCCCAGGAAGTCATAGCCTCTATCTAGATGCTGGATCCCAGCCAACAGCATGGAGCCCTGGTTCTTCATCCCACCTTGTGCTGGCTCACACAGGGGAAACACACCTGTCTTCTTCAAAGACTACCATCAGCACATTCGCTGGACCAATATGCATTGCTTAAAGCCAGTTGAAGGGATAAGGAAAAGTCCTAGCCAACTCTGTACATATCAATACATGGAAATAGGGTCGGGTTCAATCAAAATGGAGACAGTTGCTCCTCCTTCAAGGAGAGTCACCCGGATGGTCCTCCTCAGCGAATCACACAATATATGGCAGAAAGAGAGCTGGCACAGCTTTTTTTAACCTCTCCACCACACCATGCTCTCTCTACTCCCAGAGTTTATATTTTAGGCCCAAATCAAGAAAAGCATAATCAAATTCCACTAATCCAGAACTCCCTCAATGAGCTTTATGTTTCCCATGAAGCTCCAGAGATTATCAGCAAAATGTATTGTATGCATTTTCCTGCAAAAATTATTCTCAGAGTGGCTCTATGACATCAAAAAGGCTAACGCATATTAAAAAGCTTATACTACAGGGAGGAAAGATCTAATATTTTCAGTTGCTCATTTTTTCCTATCTTCCTACCACTTTTCTTTTATGTGAAGTTTTATTAACATTGTTTTCTTCTACATGAGTCTCCAGAAGCCAAGATGTGAATTAGGATATATGTATTTGACCACAGTTAGCAGGCAAAATTCAGCCAATTTTTAATGAGTTTGGAACATTTCTATGCCCATATAAAACACAGGGTACTATAGATCTTGGGGGAAAGCAGATAGTTGTATTACCCTTTTGATCCTATTATTTGGGAACTTTGTGTTCACAATGATTCCTTTCCACAAACAAATATAATTCAACATTTTCATTAATGTCTAAGATGAAACTGACTACCAAAGAACCACAGATTTGCCACTTTATATCCAGAAGAACAAATTTCTGGGTTGCCACCTTAAATAAGAGAGTGTTTCTAAATGATAATAAAGAAGCAATTTGGTCTTACCCAAAGGATTAGATCTGGAAACCTGGTCCCCATCTCAGCTCTGCCATTTGCTGGCTGAATAACTGTAGATTTGCTACTTAATATTTGTGAGTGCAAATTTCCTTACTTGTAAAATAATAGGAAATATTATTTGACTTGCTGGGATAGTGTTTTTTATGATCATCAATGTTTCTGTTATGAGATGCCTGTCTCCTCCAAACTCATATGTTGAGACTCTAACATTCAGTACCTTCGAATTTGAACATATCTGGACATAGGGCCTTTTAAAGAAGCAATTATCTTAAAATGATATCATTACAATGAGCCATATTCCCATCTGACTGATATCCTTACAAGAAGAGGAAATGTGGATTTACAAAAAGACACCAGGAGATGTGCACAAAGAAAGACTATATGAAACATAGCGAAAAAGTGGCCATCTGCAATCCAAGGAAAGAACCCTCAGGAGAAACCAACCTACTAATTCCTCAATCTTGGATTCCTATAAAACTGTGGAGGGGAAATTTTTTGTTGCTTAAGCCATTCAGCCTCAGTGTTTTATTAGCAAATTAACATGGTGTTGAAGCTAGTAATTACTAAAAATATGTAAGTATTTGATTTGCACAGCAAGTAGACTTTTATCTACATGTCAAAAAGGATTTCAAGTTACTTATATCCCTTTTTCATCCTGACTGGTCCTTTCCAACTTCCAGAATGCAATCTGTTGGTATTCATCTAAAGCTTAGAACTGAGCTAAATATCAGAATTTAAAAGTATTTTTGAATCATTCTGTGCCAAGTTCTCATATTACAGAAAAGTTTTGAATCCTGGATTCACACAGATGTTAGTCAACTTTGTATTACTATTTCAAAACAAAGAAAAAGTTTAAAATAGGAAAGGTTTATTTTGGCTCACGGTTTCAGTCCATGATCACTTGGCTCTGTTAATTCTGGGCCTAGGGTAAGGCAGAATATTGTGGCAGGGAGCATGTGATGGTATCTCAGCTGAGAATATAAATGAAGAGCAAGGGGAAGGGACACATTCCTTCGAGGGCACATGCCCTATGACCCACTTCCTCTGAGGAGGCTCCACTTTCTAGTAGCTACCACCTCCTGGAATAATGAAACTGTGATCCATCAATGGGTTAATCCATCGATGAGGTGAAAGCCCTCATGACACACTCACCTCTGTAGGTCCCACCTCTGAGCACTGCTACATGGAGACCTAAGCCTTCAACACATGCATTCTGAAGAGATATTTCTGATCCAAACCATAACACACAGTTGCCCATTTCTGTAAAACAATAGAGTGGTAGATAGTACCTTTGTCATAAGAGTATGTGAAGAAAAACATGGGTAATGCCAGAAGAGCCAGTAAAAGTGCTTAGTATGTAGTAACTCCTCATTATTGAGAATGGGAAATGCCTTGATCTGGGTCTTATTGCTAATTATTGATAAATATAGCTTTCCAGCAATTCTTGGAGTACTGATATTCTCAGATTTCCCCCCAAATCCAAACCCAGTAAGTTTTCCCCATAGTAATCAAACTGATCAGCCTCAGTGCAAACTTGTTGGGAATCTGATGAGTTCTATAACATTTGATTTAATCTGTCAATGAGAACCGCAAAGAACTTGGTGTGCTGAAGAATTCAGGCCATTCAGAGTTCCTTGTGGACTTTAGACTCAGTTAAAGCTAGACTAACCTACTAGGCCCACACCTTAGCAGTTCACTCCAGTCCTCTTTCATTCTAGAGGAAAAACAGAAGCCCAGAATGCAGTCCAGGAAAGCCTGGCTGGCTCCCCTGATCATCCAATGGGTCATCATCAGAGATAAGCTAGCAGCCTGAGTTCAAGATGAATTAGTCCTCCCATTCCACCAACCCCCAGCTGGATCCACTCCTAATCCTTAAAAAATAAAAACAGGCTCTATATTTCCCTTTGACCCTGTCCTTTGCTTTCTACATGGATCCTCTCCAGCAGTGTTGAACCATTAATTTCGACTTTTTTATCCTTGTCTTCCCAGCATTTCCACAAGCAGATGGCCAGACTCAAAATATTTCCCAATGTGGAATACTGGATTTTGGTGGAGTATGATTTCATGTTAAGCTTAAAGACTGTAGTAAAGATTGCACTAGGGACAGTTACCTGCCAGCAAGTAACCATTGCCTCCAGTCTGACCTGAATTCACAGAGGCTATAGTCACCTGACAACTTAATCAATGAACCCCTTTGGCTTCAAGGTTGCAGGGGCCAAGAGCTCCATCAAAGAAGCCTATGTGCTTTCAGCAACTCAGAAGATTCCAGTTGTTTTCAGCAGGCCTGAGAGCTTAAAATAAACAAATAAGAAAATGCCAGGTTGCCCTCTCATTTCTTCTCAAACCTCGTGCCAGCCAGGGCGAGTGCCAGACAGGCTGCCCCCAAAGAGACTGTGGTGGTGCCTGTGAGGCCAAGCCACGCAACCAGAGCTTTCAGTGCCCTAAGTGCCCGCCTCTCCCTCCAAGCTCCACTCTCCATTTCTAAAACTGCATGAAATACCCATTGCTATATAATTAACAAATGAATAAAAAGCCCTCCAACCCTTCTCTCCTTGCACAGAATTCATCCAGTTTGAGGATGCAGCTGACAGCCTTTGGGTATATTAACAGTTTCAGCAGTGTTTGAAAACAAAGCCTTATGCAGAAGAATCCAGCAACCGTTTGCATTTGTGACTGTCATTGGTTATGATTTTCCTGTGCCAGAGTAGCGAGGCTTGGGACACAAGGGAGATCTCCATGATGACATTACAGGGTGAATAGAGGTCCTCTCTGTATGCCTTCAGCCTTTACACCTTTGCAGGGCTTTTTAAAAGCTCGTAAACATGTTTGGCTGCCAGACATCTCACAGAAAAGTGGCTGCTCACTGAGTGATTGTTCATCCTGAGAGTTTTACTGACAGGGCACCTTTGGCCAAGTAATTCAGGTCTCTCAGATGCACAGATCTCCTGAATTGGTGTTTATTGGTTAGTTTTAAATGCCGGCACTGAGTCTTTATACTCTGAATATAAGAGTTTTGTGTATCTGTCTTGCCTGAAGGAGAAAAATTGCACGAAGTAGTCGTGGATGCCTGTCTTGTGCACTGATGTTGAAGCTGGTGTGTGTTGAACCTGTTATGTGAATGCTTGTGTACATACCCATGAGGGTGCAAGGCAGATAAAACTGGACATCTGTACAACAGAGGGAAGATGTTGCACCTCAGCCACTCAGAAGTCACCAGTGAGTTCCTAACTGTCAAGCACAGCATGTGCACTTCTCAGTCCTCAATCTCCTTAATGTAGTAGCGCTCAAGACCACCCATCATCTGCACCCATTTTCTTCAATCTGTTGTTTTCCAATAGAAGACCATACACCATCGTGGTTCCTTCTGATCTCAACTCACTCCCTGGTCTTCATTTACTTTGCTCCCTACCCAACCATATTCTCCAATCAGTATGATCCTTTCTTCAGTCATCTTTTCTTCTTTCTCCAGTCTCTCTAGAGGTACTTTACTCCCTCCAGGATTTAGAAGTTTGCCACAATGTGAAACAGTCCCAAGTAGTTATCTCTGGCCCTATCTCTGCTTTCATATCTTATTTCTTCCTCGGCTCAATCCAGATATCATACAGTAATCTCAAACTCAGTATTGCACACAATAGAACTTAAAGTATCCACCCACTTCCTTCCAAACCCCTGCTCTTGCATCCCCTACTCGTGTTTGCATCACCAGTATCTGTCCAGCCACCCAAGTATAAAACTCCAGAATCATCCTTGATTCCTTTCTTCTACTTGCCATATTATATGGGACAGTTAGTGAATCCATCTGACAGTCTAAATGTCCTATGTACTTTTCTCCTTCTCATTCCATCTGCCATTACACTGCTCAAGCTTATTATCATATTATTCTCACCAATAATATTACTAGGACCACTACAAATGTCATGACTCTCTTCCCCTTACCTTCCACTCCATCCTGTACATTACACTCAGATTAATCATCCCACACAGTTTCTATTATTCTTCACCTCAAAAACTAATGACCTCACTGCCTGTACCATAAAGTCCAATCCTTTAGTCTAAAATTAAAATCACTCTAGGATCTGGCCACTTGCCATCCAGGGCTCAGACAAATGGAACTTTTCAGTATTACCTATAAATATTTTTCATTAACATTTATGTATTTCCTCATGCTATCCATGCTATTTGAAATCCCCCATCCAACTCTTTGTGTTCAAACATACAAGACTTTTAAAGACTTGGCATAAAACCCACCAGTATGGTTTGGATATAATTTTAGTTTACCTCCCAAGGGTTCCTGTACTGGAAGTTTGGTCCCTAATGCAAACAGACCAAAAGGTGGTGAGACATTAAAGAGGTAAGTCTATGGCCATGGGGGCATCACCCTCAGAAGTGATCAGTGCTCTCCCATGGGAGTGGGTCATGTCTCATGGAACTGGTTTTGCACAGTATCTGACACATTGTAGAAACTCCTAAATAGTTTCCAAGTGAATCGATGGATATGTTTGTAAGGCATGTGTCAAAAATTGACTTGGATCAAGTAAAGCAGGTGGGATTCCTGGTGTCAAGCAGGGCCTGCTACTCAAACTCCTCCACACTCTGACTTTTCACTTCTGCCCTGACACACCCAGCTTCCCCTCAACCCAATCAGTGTAAATTCACCCCTCCTTCTAAAACAGGTCGAGCAAACTGGAAGCCCAGAGGCCAGATGATGCCCACACTTACATTTTTGCCCAATCTTGCCTTCTCTTTGAAATTCTTAGTTGCCAGCAGTTAAAAATTGGTAGATTTCTGCTAGCCATGGTGGCACATGCCTGTAATGTCAGCATTTGGGAGGCTGAGGCAAGAGGATCGCCATGAGTTTGAGGCCATTCTGGGCTACACAGTAAGTTCACAGCCTGAACTACATAGTAAGACTCTGTCTCAAAAAAAAATTTTTAAATAAAATAGAAATAGAAATTCAGAGGTTTCATGTGAATAATGGATTTGAAAAATGATGAGCCTTCAGTGACAACTGGCTACCATTTATAGATAGGGCTCATATTTTTGAAGGCATAGCCCCAACTTCTTTATGTTACCTTCTTGGCCCTTATACATTAAGACTGAGTATACATGAGTATAAGTAATACTTACATAAGTACTGAACACAGTTTGAGAACCATGTTCTACATATCTCCCAGTTTCCTTCAGTTTGATAGCAAAATTTTATATTGATAATTTTATCCTTTCATATCAGATAGAATTCACAAGTACCCTCACCCTAAAATTCCCTTTTCTCCACCTCTTTGTGTTTCTTTAGCACAGCAGATTTAGCATAAATCCCCAGGATATTAGAATCCATCAAAGTTATGCTCTGCTCCTTCTATCATTTCTTTGGGAAGAAGGTTAAGAATGAGGCTCCAGAAAAAGAGCCAGTGGTATTTATTACTACAAATGGTATTCAAGTCCAGGCCTTTGACCTTAGGATTTGTTTTATATCTTAACGATGCATTCTTTCTTTGCTAATTTGTCCTGTTGTCTTCTGCAATTCAGTCCAGTTTAATTCATCAAGTATTTATTAAGTAATTAAAAATGTTACAGGAACTCTGCTCTTTGTCCTGATGTTGGTAATCATTTTCATCCTAATTATTGAAAATGCTCACTCTATGGCAGGTAGCCCACTGCCAGAAAAATCCCTCTAACATAAATCCTCTCCTTTGTGTCATACTATGAACTAGTGAGCAACTACTTTGTCTAAAAGCTCTCCTGGATGCTTAGGATTCAGTTGTAAAGAAAATAAATATTCCCTACCCTCATGGGGCTTAAAATACATTTGCCCTTAAACGTATATTCTTTTTCTCCAACAAATTAAAAGTTCCTAGAGCAGAAGCTGAGTCATGACTCTCTTTGAATGATGCAAAAGATTGAATTCAGTAGGTAATTAAGTTTTGTAACTGATAACAAATGTTCTCAGTTACTCAAGGCAGAAGCCAGGTATTCTCCGCTTCTTGCAAAGTCTTTGTCTGATGCCTAGCAGCTGGTTCTTATGGACTAAGCCTTCACAATTCTAAGGACAAAAGAGCTCAAGCCAATCCCATGTCCGTGTGACCTGGACAGTCACACAGGGCCCTACACTGGCTCTATGCTTAGTTTAATGTGCTGCTGTTACCATTTTAAAATTTTTAATAATTTTTGAACAAGGAGGCCCACAATTATCCAATCATTCTGAAAACAGGGTTAGGAATGGCAACTAAAGTAACTGTAATGCCGATACCATGAGTGTGCCAATAGGGTCATGTTTACTATCTCTTCAGTGCTCTGCAAATACAGAAAAGCAGTAGGAACACAGTGTGAAGCAATCTCCACTTGTGAAATTATTTGTATTCTATGGTGCCTAGCAGAGAGGTATGTTCTCGGCACAAAAGAAATAATGATCGTCCCAAGATAAAAACACCATGTTTGCTCATCCAGCCTACTGATGGCTTCAGATTCAGTGTGAATTAGTTCCTAAAGATCCCTAGACCAGCAACGTGAGCATCACTGGAAACTTGTTAGAAACACAAATCCTTGGACTCCACCCAACTTACAGAATCAGAAACTATGAAAGGGGGGCTAGTTATCTGTGTTCTAACAAACCCTTATGTTTTAAATACTTTTCTCACTGCTGAGACAAAATACCCAACACCTGAAGTTAAGGGAAGAAAGCTTTCTTTCTGTTCCTAGTTTGTAGAGGTATCAGTCCATAGTCCGCTGGACTCAAGGCAGGATGGCATAGCAAAAGGGCATTGCAGAGGAGAAATAGTTCACGGCAACGTGAGACAGGCAAAAGGCAGCAAAGCAGCAAAGCAGTGGCAATAGAAGCAACAGCAGGAAGCCTTCTTTCCGTCCCTTATGTTCCATTCAGAATACCCTCCCTTTGGGTGGCTAGCACTGGCACCTAGGGTGGGGCACCATTAATCCCAGCATCACACACCCTAAATTCAGCCACTTCTAAAACACGCCATCTATGAGTGCATGAGGTTTTGTGGGTACATGTAGATCGGAGCTGTAACACCTTAGATGTGTGTGCTGAAAATGGGCAACTATTGAGTTATGGCACAGTCAGCTCCCAGAGAGCAGAGTCTGTGTCTCTGTATTACTCTCTATCTTCTACCGTCTTCTAGTCTGATTTAGATTAGTTAATAGGGATCCACCAAAAGATAACAGGGAGAACTTTTCTTTAATGGGTTTATGTGAATAGCCTAGAACTATTTTTTTCTTGGGCATTGGATTTGTTCATTTTTCTCTTTAGAAGTCAGGTCAATATTGCAGAAGGTTTTGCTGGCTAACACTTGACATTTGAGT